TAATCGTAGTCGTTATTGGGGGACAGCATGGTTTGTGCAGGGAGCAAGCAGCTTGATGCTGAACCAGAAAGATAAAAGGAATGCCAGGAGATAGGGCTGGAAAAGATGAAAGAATCAGATGGTGACAGTCCTTAGATTTTTTTTTTTTTTTGAGATGGAGTCTTGCTCTGTCACCAGGCTGGAATGTAGTGGCGCCATATTGGTTCACTGCAACCTCCGCCTCCTATGTTCAAGCATTTCTCCTGCCTCAGCTTCCTGAGTAGCTGGAACTACAGGCGCATGCCACCACGCCTAGCTAATTTTTGTACTTTTAGTGGAGATGAGGTTTCACCATGTTGTTCAGGATGGTCTTGATCTCTTGACCTTATGATTCCCCCCCCCCAGGCCTCCCAATGTGCTGGAATTACAGACATGAGCCACTACAGCCAGCCCACAGCCAGATTTAATACTAAGGAGCTTAGTCTTAATCTTGTAAGTGACAGCTACTCAGAACTAGAATGGTCATATTTCTGTTGTAGAGTTAAAAAGGATATTTAATGACATAGAAAAATATTTTAGTTATTTATTAGTATCAGGTCCAAATAGTTATAAAATACTATTATAGGGGCTGAGCACAGTGGCTCACACCTATAATCCCAGCACTTTGGGAGGCTGAGGTGGGTAGACCACCTGAGGTCAGGAGTTCAAGACCATCCTGGCCAACATGGTGAAACCCCATCTCTACTAAAAATACAAAAAATTGGCACTGGGTGTGGTGGCGGGTTCCTGTAGTCCCAGCTACTCAGGAAGCTGAGGCAGGAGAATGGCTTGAACTCAGGAGGTGAAGATTGCAGTGAGCCAAGATCATGTGGTTGCACTCCAGCCTGGACAATAAAAGTGAAAAAAAAAAAGTAAAGAATAAAGAAGGGATATATACATAGACATTTTCTCAAAGTTTAGATGTTGAAGGTACATTTTTGGGGTAACCGACTTTATTGAGATACAATTTACATGCACTAAAAATGAGTGTGTGTTCTTATATAGTTCAGTGTATTTTGACAATCATGTACATCTGTAAAATGTACGACTGTCGTCAAATTATAGAAGCATCCATCACTCCACAGAGCTTCTCTCCCATGACCCTTTGCAGACAGTAACCACCTCTTTTCAACCCTCAGGCCCTATAGCTATCCACTGATTTGCTTTCTGTTTTACAAATTCGTCATTTGTGGACATTTTATGTAAATGTAGTAAGACAATAGTCTTTTCTATCAGACTTCTTTTGTTTAGTATAATGTTTTTGAGATCCATGTTGTTCTTTTATCAGTAGTTTGTAAATTGCTGACTTATTATTTCATTCTTTGATTATCCCATAATTTGACTACTCACCTATTGATATATATTTGGGTTGTTTCTTGTTTATGATTCTAGTAGGTAAGTAATGGTATATTGTTTTGATTTGCATTACATAGTGAGCATTCTATTTTTTTATTGATTATTTATCTTTTGTGAAATACCCAGTCAGATCTCTTTTCCATTTTATTCATCTTGAGTTGTAAGAGTTTTTAATATATTCTGGCTACATGTTCTTTGTCAGATACATATATCAAGGTGAATGTTTTGGTAAAGACAAATAGAAAAATGCAGGAAGGTTATATACCAAGGTGATTATCCCTCAGTACAATAAAAGTCCATCTGTTTACTTCCTTCCTTTTGGTTATTGATTTTCTGATTTTTTGCATTTAATATATATATATCATTTTTATAATTAAAAAATTAGTTTTAAAATGCAAAAGATCTTGCCTCTGAAGGAAAACAGGGAAAAGTGATATAGCTGAGGAAGAGGGCAAACAAGGTCAGGAAAGGATATTTTTAAAGATAAGAGATGAGAGCATTTTTATAGGCCAATGAAAAGGAGTGGTAGGATAAAAGAATAGCCTTCGTAGAAGTAGTTGTTGTTATGTGTTGACACTAGAATAAGCAACATATAGCTTAGTAGGGCACTGGGTAAACACAGTAGTTGTAAATTTCTTTAGAAGGGAAGATCTCAGAGATGTTTAGGAACTGACTTAAAAGTGAGAATAGGAAAGAGTCTCTAATACAGAAAATTATTATGGAATTGACTCAGTATATTTTGTACACCCTTGGTGCATTTTTAATTCAGAATTATCTTCCCATACTCACAGTTTCTTCAGCTATCAAAAGGTGTATGATCAAGACTACGAATTTCATTTAAAATTAATGTAGACTTGATAAACCTTAAAAAGGAAACAACCCTCTTTTAAAAACAACTTTGATTTACTCAGTCTTAAATCATGGACCTTGTCCCTTGTAAGATTTTAGTTGAGTTCTTGAAGAATATAACATTTTCTCTGCCATCCTGTTTATAAATATAGAACTCTACAATTAGAAATATAATTTTCTGGGTACCAAAACCACAGGACAGACTGATTTTGGTACTGTCATTGCTTTGATCCACTTGCTGTGGTAAAATTAATTAATCCCAAAATTACCATCTCTTAGGTTTCATATGGACATTACTGATAAAATGATTTAAAATAGTCCATTATAAGTTACCTTTTTTTTTTTTTTTTGAGACAGTTTCATTCTGTTATCCAGGCTAGAGTACAGTGGCGCCATGTCAGGTCACTGGAACCTCTACCTCCTGGGTTCAAGCCATTCTCCTGCCTCAGCCTCCTGAGTAGGTGGAATTACAGGCACACGCCACCACACCTGGCTAATTTTTGTATTTTTAGTAGACAGTGTTTTGCCATGTTGGCCAGGCTGGTCTCGAACTCCTGACCCCAAATGATCTGCCTGCTTTGGCCTCCCAAAGTGCTGGGATTATAGGTGTGAGTTATTGTATCTAGCCTGTTTTAAGATTTTCTTAATCATTCTTTGAAGCACCATAAATAGTAGGTACCATTCTACAGATAAAGAAACAAGCTAAAAAAAATTAATAACCAAGGGGAGTTTATCCTAGGAAGACAAAGATTTCTTGACTGTGGGAAATATTATGGTGATTGTTCCATTACACTCATATAAAATAATCTTGCTAGACTGTCACTCCTTTTTTTAAAATCATATTAAAAAAAATTATAAAATAGAGACGAGGTCTCACTCTGTTGCCCAGGCTGGTCTCAAATTCCTGGGCTCAAGCAATCCGCTCACCTCAGCCTCCCAAAGTGTAGGGATTACAAGTGTGAGCCACCGTGCCCAGCCTAGACTGTAACTCTTTAAGTTGTTATCTCTGATTTTAAGTAGTCACATAAATTATTTTAAAACTGTAAATAAATTTTAAACTTGTAAAATAGCAAGGTAACTGTTGGGACAATTTTTCTTTTGTGATTATTATTAATGAATTTTATGGTATGTTGGGAGAAACTTTCAAGATGGAAGTATTTTGTCTATCGGCATAAGTACCAAAATCTTATTTGGTGTTTTTTAATAAGAAATACTGTTATCCATAATAACAAAATTGAAAACTGTCATAATTCTCTTTAGTGATTTTTCCTTACAAGTATTTTTTATTTTAATTTGTACTTTAAAAAATATGACCATGCATATAGGTGCTTCTGATACTTCTATAATCTAGGAAGAATAATCTTTATTTTTGTTTCTTAGGTGCAAACTGTTTTGAAGCCAGTTCATCATAAGGAAGGACAAGAACTAACTACTTTGCTGAATACTCCACATATTCAGGTAGAAGATGGACAGATGATTGTATATATGGTTTTTCCAGTATTCTTTTATTTTATAATTTCTTTTTTTTCCCCCTTTTTTTAATCACAGGAGAAGGATTTAATCTTTTATTTTTTTAAATCAAAGACTCCAGGGCTGAAAGAGATGTCAAATATTATCTAGCCTTACAACCCCGTCTATAACATAATAATTATTCTTGGGTTATATATTTTCAGATTTAAAAATGAACTAAATTATTAAAAATTAGGCAAAAATTCTTCCCCCTTTTGGTTATCTTTTCCATAAGTTTTAATTATCTAGGGTGTTTAGGCCTTTACATTGATGTTGTTTTATGAAGTTTAATAAGTATTTTAGACTTTCATAACCCATTCCAGAGTATGCCCTTAGTACACTTAACACATCTTTATTTATTATTAGCTCTAGTTAATTATAGCACTTTTAAAGATATAATGGTCAGAATACTTTGTACATAGTGAGGTTAAAAATCACTCTGCAGAAATAAATTGTGCTATTAATTAAAATGCCATGGATTTCTTTGAAACAGGCACTTTTACTGGCCCATGATAAGGTTGCTGAGCAGGAAATGCAGCTAGAGCCCATTACAGATGAGAGAGTTTATGAAAGTATTGGCCAGTATGGAGGAGAAACTGTAAAAATAGTTCGTATAGAAAAGGCTCGTGATATTCCATTGGTAAGTATCCTACATACTGTTGTTAAGCAAGCGCATTTTTCTTCTGTTTGCATGCTTCAAAAGTCTGGTTAATTTCAGAGTTCTAATGAATAGAGTATTTCTCAAGTGGAAAATGTGGGGGAAAATGATGAAACCTTTAAATCTAATTACAATTACTGTAGCTGTGTAAGTAAATTTTTTCTTAAGATAACTGAAGGTTAGTATTGTTGAGTAGAAAACAAATAGAATTTAAAAATAAATGCTTAACAAAAAATTGTATTATTTTTAAATTAGGTAATTTTTTTCTAGGGTGCTACAGTTCGTAATGAAATGGACTCTGTCATCATTAGCCGTATAGTAAAAGGGGGTGCTGCAGAGAAAAGTGGTCTATTACATGAAGGAGATGAAGTTCTAGAGATTAATGGCATTGAAATTCGGGGGAAAGATGTCAATGAGGTTTTTGACTTGTTGGTAAGTTGACACAGCTAAAAGAATAATTTTATTTTTCTGCAATCAGTAGTAATATAACTCATTAATACACTCAGTACATATTTATTGAGTGCCTAATATGCACTAGCCATTTGGGAAATAGTAACAAAACAAAGTCTGTGTCCTCATGATTTTTTGCGTTATTTTATTTATTTATTTATTTTTGCTGCTCCAGTCAACCAAAGGGACACTTTATTGAGGCTCCAGGGCCATGGGGCCTGGGCAGAAGGCTGCCCTTCCAGGAAGGAAGAGGCTTATTTGACCTTCTTCTTGGGGCGCAGGTTGTTAGTGTGGCCATACTTCCTCTTGCAGCAGTTGACAGCACGGGGGTGCAGGCGAGCGTAGCACTTGCGGCAGATCATCTTGTCCCAGCTGTATTTCTGGGCAAGCTGGTGGAGGGAAGGCTCAATAATGCCACCTCGCAGGTGCAGCACCAGGTGCAGGGTGGACTCTTTCTGGATGTTGTTGTCTGAGAGCGTGCGGCCATCCTCCAGCTGTTTGCCGGCAAATATCAGACGCTGCTGGTCAGGTGGGATACCCTTCTTGTCTTGAATTTTGGCTTTGACATTCTCAATGGTGTCACTGGGCTCGACCTCAAGGGTGATGGTCTTGCCTGTGAGGGTCTTCACAAAGATCTGCATCTCTGCGTCTGCTTAGCCTGGCACGAACTCCCCACGACCGCCGCCAGCAACCAACTTGGCCGCCTCGCTCTATTTTATTTATTATCTGTAATTGATTGTTGTTTTTCTAATAATATTAGACAATAACAGTGCTATAGATCTGCAGTGTCCAGTATAATAGTCACTAGCTGCATGTAGCTATTTCTGTTTAAATTAAGTAAAATTTAAAATTCAGTTCTTTATTCACACTAGCTACATTTCAAGTGCTCAAAAGCAGTATGTAGTTAACGGCTACCATATTAAGATACAGAAGTAGCACAATTCCATCTTGGAGAAAGTTCTATTAGATAGTACTGGTATAATCAGGAAATCATTTATAGACATCTTTTGAGGGAAATTTATGATCAATTTGTACACACCCACAGACCAGATTTATGGTTTTAGTTACCCAGCATCTGTTATTACAGTGGACTCTCCACTATCTGCTTATGCTGTTCTAAAATCTATAAAACATCTTCACACACATATTTTCACCCAGCCCCATTCATTGGTTTGGTAGAGCAAAGTGCCACTGGTCATCATGTAAGTCTGTGGAGGGGTTCTGAAATACTCCAGTTTAGGGAATATACATCATAAAATCATGGAATGGTTTTCATAAATACAAATTTAAAAAATAACCTGATCTTTCTATTACAGTCTGATATGCATGGTACTTTAACATTTGTTCTGATTCCCAGTCAACAAATCAAGCCGCCTCCTGCCAAGGAAACAGTAGTAAGTGATTTTTAAATGTTCATTATTTATTTGTTCCATGGCTGCTGTTTACTTCTGTTATTGTTTACTGTTACAGAAATGTCACTGAGTATTTCTTGTACTCAAATACAGGTAGATTCAGTCATTTTTATTTAAATAAATATGAAATACCAATTTTTTAAATTAGTAAACTCTGTACCATTTTTTGGTGGGGTTGGGGGTGGAGATGCTGTCTCCAACTGTTGCCCAGGCTAGAGTGCAGTGATGTGATCTTCGCTCACTGCAACCTACGCCTTCTCGGTTCAAATAATTCTCCCACCTCAACCTCTTGAGTAGCTGAGATTATAGGCTTATGCCACCATGCCTGGCTAATTTTTGTATTTTTAGTAGAGATGGGGTTTTGCCATGTTGGCCAGGCTTGTCTTGAACTCCCTGGCTTCATGTCATCTGCCTGCCTTGGCCTCCCAAAATGCTGGGATTATAGGTAAGAGTCATTGCATCTGGCCAAGTCTGCACCTTTTTAAAATAAAGTGTTTCAGAATTTTTTATTTTGCAGTTATAGTGCATTTACTTAACTTAATACGGGGTAGAGTAAGTGCTTTTAAAAAGTTTGTGCAACCCTTATTTTAGAGTATATTGTTCTGTTAAACATTTACTCAGCTAACTCTATTAAAAGTTCGGCTTCATTACCCTATGATCAAGCAATTGCATTCCAAAGTATATATCCAAGAGGACTAAAACATATATTCACATAAGAATGTCTACATTAATGTTCATAGCAGCAGCATTCATAGTAGCTAGAAAGTAGTAACAACGCAAATATCTGTCAAGTGATGCATAAAAGACAAAATATGTATATATGATGGGATATTATTTGATAATTTATAAAGACTAAGGTACTGATATATGCCACAATATAGGATGAACCTTGAAGAAATTATGCGAAATGAAAAAGCCACTCACAAAAGGCCATGTATTGGTTCATTTATATAAAATGTCTAGAATAGGTAAATCTGTTGGAGAGAAAGTAGATTAGTAGTTCCTTAGATGTGGAGATGAGGAGTTATGAGGAAGTGGTAATTGCTAATCAGTACCAAGTTTCTTTTTGAGGGGTTAAAAATGTTCTGAAATTATTTGTGGTGATAGTTGTACAAATCTGTGAATATACTAAAACCATCCAGTTGTTTACATGGGTGAATTGTATATGAATTATAGTCCAATAAAACTATTTAAAAATGATAAACTTTAAAGTGTTGAATTAACATGGAAGCTTGTTGTATTGCATCTGTTATTCTTTAAAGCACAGCAGTTTGAGAAAGAACACATTTCATTTTTTTCTCAGTATTTCATCACAGGTATGTTTTATATTTTTGCTATCGTTCCATGTTTTCCCTTTATGTTTTACGAAACATGCTGAAGTTGATATTGTATCTGAAACCTACTTTATGTTTACAGTGTTTTGTAGGAAGAGAAATGAGGGAATACCGTTTCTCTTTGAATTCAAACAGCTTGATTTTCTGTGCATTGTGTTTTTCCCTATTTATCTCCTGTGAATAAGCCCCAAACTTCAAAAGTAGCTTTGCAAACTGAGGAGACAACAGAGGAGGGTTGGAATATGCTCCTACTTAATTATCTACAATAATCCATCTCTCCTGAGCAAATACTTTTGTCTTTTGAGAATGAATGTCAGAAGTTGTCATTTTTTTGGTTTGTTTTGTTTGAGATGGGATCTGGCTCTGTTGCCCAGGCTGGAGTGCAGATTACAACTCACTGCAACCTCCTAACTCAGCTTCTCTAGTAGCTGGAACCACAGATGCATACCATCACATTCGGCTAATTTTTGGTACCTTTGGTAGAGATGGGGTTTCACTATGTTGCCCAGGCTGGTCTCAAACTCCTGAGCTTAAGTGATCCACCCGCCTGAGCCTCCCAAGGTGCTGGGATTACAGGCGTGAGCCAGCATGCCCAGCCAAGACATGTTTTCTCAACATTTTTTTTTTTCCTTCTCTTCATGTAGAGTCTGTAATTCTGTAAAAGAAAAGCTATTTTTTCATGGATAAAATTAATCGAGGTGTTACATTGATACTTGTTGATTCTCATTGTATGCAGAACAGAATGTCAAAGTAATTAACTTACACAGATTGTTTCCACCTAACAATGAAATAACTTACTTATCCTTTAGTGGTTATTTAACCCCCACTGTTCATTATTGATTAAGAATAAAAGGCTGGTTTAATCTGAAAACCAAAGGAATATATGTTCATGGTGAACAATCTCAGGAACTACCTAACTGGAAAATGAAGTTGCTTAAAAAGGAAGAAAGTGGGAAAAAGGAACCAGATGCCAGGTCCATCCTATTTAAAATGCAGCTTATTTTTTTTTCTTTTTAGTTGGAGTTTTGCTCTGTCACCGAGGCTGGAGTACAGTGGCACGATCTGGGCTCACTGCAACCTCCACCTCCCATGATTTTCACATGATTTTCCTGCTTCAGCCTCCCAAGTAGCTGGAACTACAGGTGCACACTACCACACCTGGCTTATTTTTGTATTTTTAGTAGAGAAGGGGTTTGACCTTTTTGGCCAGGCTCATCTCAAACTCTTGATCTCTGGCAATTCGCCCGCCTTGGCCTCCCAAGGTGCTGGGATTATAGCTGTGAACCACCATGTCCGGCCCCTACTTTTCTCTTTTTATTATGAATAACTCTCAATTGCAATATAGCTTGCCAAGTTTTATCAAACCTAACTGGCATAAAATGAATTACTATTATTAAAGCTCATTGAGGCTGTCCAGAAAGGAAATAATAATAGGAAATCATAATCTTGGTTGACATGTGGAGAATAATTATTTATGGAATTGAAGATCTAAAGAAATTAGAACCAGTTATTGAGTATTCATTTTAGTGCAGGTCAGCATCTGTTGAGAGCTGCAGCAGATCTTTCTGATTTATGTTCTGTGATATTAGAAACGTGTTTAAGACAGATACACAAAATAGGTGTTTTCTGAAACTCCTGTATAATCCCTTGTTGAACTATAATGTCATGTATGGCAACAGTAAGCTGTGTCAGGAGAAGTATTCTCTGAGTTCTTAAAATTTCTTTTGTACCACACATAGCAACCAGTGGCTGCTCTTTCAGTAGCAGGGGGCAAGAGTCTTGCCACCTTTGTATTTCACTTCCTGGGTAACCGACACATTTGACCTATGAAACATATACATTATTCAAACTGTGCAGTTTCCTTCTTGCCTTTAAAAAAAAAAAGGAAGGGTTGAATTTCCCAGACTAGTTTGTAAAACTTTAGATTATTCAATAATATGTAGGGAGGACATAATAGACTTTTATCTAAATGGGATTTTTTTCATTTAGTCTAATGCCATAATCTAACAAGGAATGTATTGAAATGAAGCAGTATCACACTGCTTATTAGTTACAGAATATGTACCAGATAATTAACAGATTATTGATTGTTTTAGATATATAAGCTATTATTATGATTATGTACTCTGTGCCAGGCACTACAGAGATAACTGTTGTAAGGAAAAGTTGAGAACCATTGCTATCAAATGCATTGCTTTCCCTTTATAGGTATAAAATGTATTAATAAAGATACTTATTAGTACATGGTGGATAGGGGAAGAGGAGGCATCCTAGAGTTGTGGGGAGATACCGAAAAACTTGCTTGATGCTGTAAAGGCTTTCCTTGACTCCCTTTCACTATTTTCCCTTCTATAATGAACTTTAAGAGTTAAAGATAAATCTACGATAGTAAGAAATGCAGAAATAAAAAGTACAAAGAAAAATATTTTGATAGCAGAGATGTGGAATCAACCTAAATACCCATCAGTGGTAGAATGGATAAAGAAAATGTGGTATATATACACCATGCAGCCATAAAAAAAATTAAATCATATCCTTTGCAGGGATGTGGATGGAGTTGGAGGCCATTGTCCTTAGCAAACTAACGCAGAAACAGAAAACCAAATACCACATGTTCTCTTATAAGTGGGAGCTAAATGAAGAGAACATACGGACACACAGAGGGAAACAACACACACTGGGGTCTTTTGGAGGATAGAGGGTTGGGGGAGGGAGAGGATCAGGAAAAATAACTAATTGGTACTAGGCTTAATTAATACCTAGGCGATGAAGTAATATGTACAACAAACCCCCAAGACGCAAGTTTGCCTATTTAAAAGTTAAAAAAAATATTTAGTATAAAAAATATAAAAGCCAACCAAGTACTTAGACATAACAGAAAAGGGAAAAACCAAATTTCCTTTTTTTTCCCCCCTCTTTTTGATTTTGAGGGAGTCACCAATGTGATAGCCTTTCCTTCATGGATACTAACTTGTCCATTAAGCTAATCCCAAAGTTGTCTCCGAGGTACACTGTTCAGGTGATTGTAGCAAATTTATACTTTTCCAAAGGAGTTCATTCCGTTGAACAAGTGGAATACAACATCCTGAGTTTCTATAT